TCTCTCTCTCTCTCTCTTCTCCTCTCTCTCTCTCTCTCTCTCTCTCTCTCTCTCTCTCTCTCTCTCTCTCTCTCTCACTCTCTCTCTCACACTTTCTCTCTCACACTCTCACTCTCACTCTCACTGTCACTCTCACTCACTCACTCACTCACTCACTCACTCACTCACTCACTCACTCACTCACTCACTCACTCACTCACTCATACATAAATAGAACTTTACTCTGTGAATAAGTTTTTTTACGAAAACATTTTTATCAAGTAACTGTAACTTTACTATATTTCTTTTAGACGACTATAAAATAGCTCAAAGAAAATGCAAAAAGGCATTAGATAGAGATAATCTCCCATCACTATCTGTTTCGGTAAAACTGAGCGTCTCCTCAGTCCGAAACGAGGCCCGGTTTCCGCCTCGATTGAGACGCGAAGGTAGAGATCGGGTTTTGCTGAGCCTTATATCAGCGGCCGCTCAACTCCAAGGATCCCGAGGATAGAGTCACGATAGCGTTAGAGCTTGCTCTGGATCCACCGATGTTCCGAGGTAGCGATCGGACAAAGAGAAACCGTTGAGATGATAAGGATCTTGGATAAACGGAGCCAGAGGACGGTCACAAAACTGCGAGACAAAGCAAGGGGAAAGCAACGACCACGGGTGTTGTGATGACGATACGAAATTTAAACAAAGGACAGGAGCGGCGGATGATTTACGATTTACAGAGGATTTCAATTTAGTCGAAGTTGACTCAGAAATTGTAGATTCAAGTGAAGACGATCTTCGAGATATTCTACAGATCACTCATCATCGACAACCTCCCCTAACTTTATTAACAAACGATACAAGAGAACAGAAATAAATTCAGATGAACATTTAGTGACTACAATACTTTGAAGAAATGATAGAACGGATGAGGACAAGGAAACGCGCTGGATCCTTGTCCGACCGACACAAGTAGCGAGCTCCGGCGACGGTAATTCCGCTCGACACGTTCAACGCAGCTGAGACGCGGTGGATGGAACTTTACGCGAACACCAAAGTCGCGCGCGAATGATGTTAGATCGTTTTATTTTCACGATGTAACGACCGTAGAGAGATGAGCTCGATGTCTGATGATTTACGAAAGAAACGACTCGTAACCGATCTCTGTTCCTGCTTGACAGCGACTGACTTTTTCTAATAATCGATCGCGGCTAGACGCGAGAGTTCCTCGAACCGAGCCTCGGATTCGGCGAAACGGCTGCGAATCAGCTGTGCCGCTAGCGCTCGCGCGGCACGTGATAACGACGTGATCGCGGCACAGCTGACTCGGTGCACCGCACGATCGGTGATTTTCGGCGACGAGCCCGAGCGACGGTGCTCGAACACTATCTGAATCTGCCGAATATGGAAAAGGACTTCGTGTACCGAAACGTAAAAAAAGAAACAGTTATATAGACACATACGGAAAGCAAATGTAGCGAAGAAGAATTGTCTATTAATTTTCCGATGTATAAGGCAAATAAAACTGTATTTTCATCAAATTCAGCACATAAAGGTACAATTAATTAAGAGAAAAAATTATGAAAATTTTTAACGTTTTTTTTTCTAAGAAGTTTGTTTTCAGATTCAGCTAACAAAGTACATATTAATAAATCGAATAATAATGTTGATCAATTCAGTGGAAGCAAGAAACAAAAATCTGACAATATTTTAAATGAAATCCATACTAATTTTGAAAAACATGCAAATGAAATGAAAGGTAACATGTATGGAGAAAATGTGTTCTATTTATGAAGCAACTATGTTTTAGATTGTTATGCGTACTCTCTAATTTATTTGCAACAGCAATTGCTGAGACTCTGTTTTATGTTCATTTATGTTTTGAATTTTTAAGAATTTCAACGCCAAGTTCTACGACACCTACATAGCATTAATGGCCGAATGGGGGAATTAAATGAGCACGTAGAATCATTAAAGCAGCCTAATAATTTTTTTACTGATCAAGATAATGCAAATCAAAATATCACAAATGAAGTCTCATTACAATGTATTGAGAGTTTGCCAGTGAAATCAAACATCGAGCTTCAAGATATTGAGAGAACTTTACAAGATAAACAAATATTCCATGATGTGGTAAGATTGTTATGATTACTAAAGTTATAGGTAAATGTGCATAAAAAGACCCCACCTTCCGATGACCTTGATCTTGACATATGTTGTCAAGGTCATC